CACTCACTTCCAAAAACGGTATACTACCGTAAAATTTATGTCCAATACATGCAATGTCCAATACAGTTTTTCACCGTATATAGTAGGGGAATTTACCGTTAAATTCACGGTCATTTTTTACAGTGAAGGACATTGTGGGTGAGTTAATGTCAAAACTGTTATTTACCACACTGGTATGAAAATATATGATTTGGGTTACAAAACGATACTTTGAGAAGCACCCAGGCTTTCTTATCAACCGCTTTGTAAATTGGTCCCTAATTTAAGATGAATAGCACCTATCAAAGAGCTCTGTTGCATTACAGCTGCTGGTTTCACAACTGGTTCTACTGGTTCGAATTTGATGAGATTTTATTTTACAGAAATAAATAATTTAATCAAATTTGAAATGTAACGCAGGGAATTCTGGGAATGTCAATTTACGGTTATTCCCTGTAAATTATACGGTATTTTTCACTTCCAAAAACGGTATACTACCGTAAAATTTATGTCCAATACATGCAATGTCCAATACAGTTTTTCACCGTATATAGTAGGGGAATTTACCGTTAAATTCACGGTCATTTTTTACAGTGAAGGACATTGTGGGTGAGTTAATGTCAAAACTGTTATTTACCACACTGGTATGAAAATATATGATTTGGGTTACAAAACGATACTTTGAGAAGCACCCAGGCTTTCTTATCAACCGCTTTGTAAATTGGTCCCTAATTTAAGATGAATAGCACCTATCAAAGAGCTCTGTTGCATTACAGCTGCTGGTTTCACAACTGGTTCTACTGGTTCGAATTTGATGTTTTTTTATTTTACAGAAATAAATAATTAAAAAAATTGTAATTTAAATAGTAATGTTGCTTGGGTGTATTGGCAGTAAAAATAAATACAATAAATTAATTTAAAAAATACGGTTGTATGTATGTATGTATGTATTTATTTATTTATTCCTTCCATATAAAGGACTATATTGACTGCAAAAAATAAATATGTATCAACTGCAGATGCTATCGACTGATGGATGGGTGATAGATAGATATATAGATAGATGAATAAATAAATAAATAATGGAAAAAGGGATGATTTGTTGTGCTTTTAAGCATAGTTTACTGAACTGATGTCCTGCTTGTAATGTTACTAGACACTAAATATCAATATTTCTATCAAATAACAAACTGACAGTTATATAGTATTTACTGTATTGTTGTGAGATGTTTTATTGTATGTATATTTATTTATTATTTTGTTTTCCAGCATCATTGGCTATGGCAATAAATAAATAAATAAGCATACAATTAAACATATTAAACAGTCATTAAATTAAAAAGTCATTAAAGTGTGTTAAAACAGGCAGGCAACTATATCTGTAAGTACAATAAATTAAATATGCATTCCATAAACAAAATCAGCCCTTTTTTCTTGTAAAGGATGTCATGGCATGCCATATTAATGTTCCTTCCTTTGTTTCACACTTTTAAATAGGCTTTGTAAAGCTGTAACCAAATGAGCTCACAAATGAAACCCAGGCCTGTCACAAGAAACAGAGACCTCTTCTCATTTATTATCGGTCTCACAATTCTCGCTGTCTTTCTGCCTCAAGGAAGGTTTTATGCAAGGATTTATTCCCAAGGCTTATTCCCACCAGTCCAAATATTCACATCACCAGCAGACAGACACACTGTGAATTACAATGTAGAAGAGTACTCTACTCCACCATACATATGTTAATACTGTCCATCCTATCTGTTATTACCTATAAGACCTGTGGACTCATTATAGGAAATGATGCTAGCTGAGACACTCATGAATTAGGTGTGCGGGTAATTAGGTTAGTTTAACAAGAACCCTAATTTAAATTTCTTTGGTTGGAGCGAGAGGGCACAAGTGGGATCATCCTTTGAATTGCTAATTTGAATAATCGTATAATGAATGGCGAGGTCACATGAGCCTGTTCCATATTAATTAGTGCTGATGAAGAAGACATGAAGATGATGTATGTATAGTCAGACTCATTCATTCACTGATTTGTCTAAATTAATTATATTTATGGGATTTTTATGGCTTTAATTAGACAGAACAGCAGAGAGGAGAAAGTGAGCGGGAAAGTAATTGGAAACATTGCCAGGAGGCACATGTGTGCTAATCAAGGTGGTCTGCAATAACAGGAGAGAGCTAGCCATTAACATTCCCATTTGTGAGTCTTAAAACCTTCACTAACTATCCTGAGCTGTGATGTAAAAAGCCCATTTTATGTTTATAAGTGTGGTCACTAGCAAAAAATCTACTGTTATTTAATGAATTAGTTCCTGATACAAAAAAAGCTTTGTGTTGTATGTTGTGCTAACTGTGTAAACTGTGTTTTAAATGATCTGTCACACATATTATTAAAAAGAAGCTATAAATTGTTACATTAAACATTGTTTGTTTGGTTAGCCAACTAGCTTTACTTTCCACTAGGCTATTAAACTGCAACACATAGGCTAGCTGATTAGCAAGCCATCTAAGCATGACGCTAGCATATTAGGCTGCAAGTTAGCATGTCAATTTAAAAATTTTTGGTTTGGTTAGTTGTAACTTTGCATACCACTATTCTATTAACCTGTAAAGCATGCGACTAGCTGAGTAGCAAGCCATCTAAGCATGCAGCTAGCCTAGTAGTCTGCAAGTTAGCATGCTGCTTGCTGATAGCCTACGAGATTAGTTATCAGTGCCACAAAAGGATAACTGGAAATGCTATTTTGATGATCTATGAGGAGATATTGTGAAATGTCATATGTTTTTGAATAGGCATTACACATGGCTATATCTTGAAGATAGGATCTTACAACAGCATCTAGCAACAGGTGCTAACTGGACCATGCTAAGCAGCCAAATCTTGGTGTTTACCTCTGCACAACGGCTCTAACATGCAGGTAGGCATTTTATTATTGCTGAATTCATGCATTTTGCAGCGCAAATCTGACAAATTGCAACACATTAACACCTGCTAGGTTAAGGAGAGATTAAATTCATCATGATGGGAGATACACAGACAAACGTTTAAGAGTAAAACACATTCAGTCTGTGTGAATATTCTTCAGGGTCATCAACAATACAGAGAATAGGATTTCCCTCAGGAATTGATCCAAACAAGGTCTATTAGAAAACTGTTGTTGGGGCGAAATCAATCTGCAATCATTTGAGGCAGCGTACTCCTCTCCAAATTCCCATGTCTTGTTAAACATTACTTCCCATCTGTGCATTATATGAGAGGAGCAATTCTGGCACAGCGCTGTGCAAAACTGCTAGAGCTCATTAAATGGATTTTTATTCAAGACTGATTCACTTTAGTTTCCCCGTGTCCTGTGTGGATAACAATGAATTTGTTTATTGTCCAGAAGAGGACTGCACTGAGGTAAATGTGCAATTTGGCATTTTCTCAGCCCGCCAGCATCTGCGACTAAGTGGCTCATTCCCTGTTGACTAAGACAAGTGAAGATCAGAGTTTCCAGATGGGCTTTTCTCAAAAAGAATCAGTTGCAAGTTCATCTGATACCTTTTCCATCAAGGCTGCAGGAGACATTTGGCTCTTTGCAAACTGATACAAGAGAACATTTCTAGCTGTACTTTCTGAGCAGTAGTTACTATGACAATGGCGATAGTTTCTATGACAATCAAGCGGACTTGAGTGTTAAGGCAATGACTGTTTTGTTATTCAGGCTAAATATAATGTTTAAAAAAGCATACTTGAAGAAACTTGTAATCAATTCTTGTTTGCATTGCATGAACACATACTTTAAACCTACGGCGAGATCACTGACATCTATAATTTTGCAATAATCTGTAAAATAGC